GGGGTAAATTGCTAAGTGGTTCTCTCTCCTTAATTAGTAGTCTCCAACTACAGCCTTGTCTTCTACTTCTGGCACTCTGTCCTTACATTGTTTACAGCTGCTGCCCATATTTTTGCTAGAATTTTTAATCTCTTGAATTTCTATTTGGAGCCTTTTAATGTACTCATTCTTTTCTATGATGGTTATTCATGTTTTACATTGCTTTCTATAGCCCTGCTGGCTTTTTGTTAGTGTCTTCTTTAGATTCATTGATCATTTTACTTGGCCCAAAATCTCTTCTTATAACGTCCATGAGCTTGCCAGATGTCATATTAATCTGTTTTGTTATCTCCCCCGATATAATTTTGAATAATTTAAATGTTTGGCTTTTGGTTTTCTTCCTTTCTATACCCCATGGATCAGTTTTGGGGAAGTTACGAGTTTTTGGAGTTATTTTGTTGACTTGTCTTCTCATGTCTCTATTTGTGTGTGTGTGTGTGTGTGTGTGTGTGTGTGTGTGTGTGTGTAGGCTTGTGGATTGATTGTAGTGGGAAGATTTTTCTCTAGTAGAAAGACTTCTTTAGTTAATGTCTACTTTTCAGTGGTGTCCATTGGGCATGGCTAACTATTGAGTTTTGCCTCTGTCCCAGGATCCAGCCACCTCCATTCACTTGGGATGGGAGGTTCCAGCATATTTGCCCTAGTACCTAATTCTCTAGGAAGTGGCCACAGTGTTTTTATTGACCCCAGGGCAATCCAGATATTGCCACCCCAAGAAAACCAGTTAATAGCAACGGCTATGTCACCTTGGCTATGGTAATAAAATCAGCAATTATAGCATCAAATAAAAACAGTATTGACAAACTCTAAGGACCAATAGTGTACCACCCTTAACTATAGAAAAGAGATCTATAATTATGATATTAACACTATGACAAACCAAATATTGACCTACTGCTGTCCTACAGTAAATATCTATAAAATGGAAGAACTTTACCCCTACTGACAATAGAACAATATTCAACAGTAATTGTGCAAAGTTAATTAGCTCTCTAGAGATTCATAAATCTTAACAATTATACAAGTAAGGGTAGAGGGAACCAGAAAATGATAAAACAAAAATTTAAAAATTAATCAATGGGAAAAGACTAATAATAGCAGTATATATATAATTAGGGAAACAACCCCTTTCACAATAGCATAAAAAAATGAAATATCTAGGAATCGATATAACAAAGGAAGCAAAAGATCTCTACATTGAGAACCAGAACACTCTGAAAAAACGAGATTGAAGAGACTATAAGAAAATGGAAATTTGTGAATTTTGGGTGCTGTCAACTTTGGAAAAAGTTATCCCAATTTACTGTGTTGAGTTGGCATTGTACAGAAATGGACAGCCATATTGGTCTAGAAATGTTACATTTTTTTAATTTTTATTTTTTATTTTAATTTTTCCATTTGTACAGGGGTAATGCATTGTACTAAATATGTAAGGTCATATCTACTTGGGTTTGATTACAGAAACTAATAAAGTATTCTCTAAATAATGAAAAAAGAATAAGACTACAAGAGCGAGAAGCAATTTAAACATGTTAAGGGACGATTTTCATCTTCAGAATTAAGGATTATTTTAATCTTACATCATTGCCTTTTTTCTTTTACTTTCCTTTTTAGTTTTATTTTAGGATTTCCTATTTTTAATGTTCATACAGAGATTTCTTTAACTGAAATACCGAATAGTTTCTCTGGTGTGAAAAACTAATAGTACACAGGATTCTAATGAGATAATTAATAATGTGAAATAGGAAGTAAAGGGCTAAACGTGTAGGGAAAGCGGGAAGGGTGGGGGAAAGGTAATAAGGGAGAGGAAAAAAATATGAGAAATTGAAAAAATGGAAATAAAGTGTTTGTAAATGGGGAGGGGAGGAGGCAGTGAAGGGAGGGCAGGGACAAGGGGAAAAAAATGAGAATCAAGACCTATTATGTAAAGGTACAGAATCCCAATGATGAATGTAACTGTATTGTATACCTAGATTGTACCAATAAACTCAATAAAAAGAAAAAAAATTAATCAATGGGATATGAGAAAGATGAGAAATGGGAGGTGAGGATCCTGTTGAGTAGAAGGGTATTAGTAGTATTAGAGAAATCACAGGGAAGACTGAACAAGAAAAAGAACAAAAAAGATAAACAGAGAAAAGTACAGGAAATAAAAGACAAGATGAAAGAGAAAAAAGTTGAAAGGAGGAAAGAGAAAAGGAGAGAAAAGAAACTAAAAGAAGCGGGAAACAGGGTCGGGGATTTAGCTCAGTGGTGCTACCTCTTGCCTCGCAAGGTCCCGAATTTGATCTCCATACCCCTCCCAGAAAAGAAGGGGGGAAACAGACAAAACCCAATCCCAAAAGAAAACTTGATGAAGAAAAGATGAAAATAATAAAAAAATAAAAAAATTTAAAAAAAGGTTGATTAAAAAAATAAAATTACTGTGTTTTTGAGTGGCTTCTTTCCAAAGTCTGCAATCTTGGGATCCAGACAATCACAATTTTCTCTACCTAACTTTAGGGTCTATGGGTTTGGAGCTGCCCTACCTGAGGCCCCTCTGTTCACCCCAGACTGTGATTACTGACTGAGCCATGCATGCCTTTGCTCATTGTTAGATGGGAAATATAGTCAGTCCCCTGGTCTCTGCTGAATGTGGGCAGTAGGGTTGAGGTTGAAGTGGAATGTTGGGATTTTGACAGTAGTGGGGTCTGGTTGCTCCCTTCTCTCCTTGTGTTTTCTCATTCAGGATCAGGTCAGTTGATTAATCCTCGGCTCTGCTGCTCTATGCCACTGGGCAGCAAACTGTTGAGCCAGTTGGAGTTGGTGGGTAGTTATTACTATGTTGGTTTCCAGTGATTTATTTTGTACATTGGGCAATATCATGATTCTCTGAAAGTTCTTTATGATTCTTGGCATGTGATACAGTATTTGCATTGCAAGAATAAGTATTCCAGTCTTCATAATTTCGCTTTGTTTCTGCCCTTAAAGAAATTCTAAGCAGTTTGCTTCTCTGAGCACATGAAACTTTCTGTTATTTCAGCACTAGAGGGCGCACTGAGTCCAGTTTTTGTTTCATGCCCACATAACGTACAGTGTCTTATTCAGAATAAATTTAAAAATACCTTTTCTTGGGGCCAAGATAGGCTCAGATGCCTTATCTACAGCATGTGATTAGGCACTGCAAGGTTCTTTATGGCTCTGGGCTTCAGAACAGAAGGACTGACTCTAGACCCTAGGCTGTGCAATGACTTGATAGTTATATCTCTTTTCTTGTCCCAAGTAAACTATTAACTCTGTATTTCACTGCTTGATGCCATAGTAGGTAGACCTGTGGCCACCAGCATTGCAGTTCTGAGTTCCATCGCTCACAACTTACCAAGACAGTCACTGCTTGTGGGGCACAAACGCATAGTGATATAGGCTGTCTGTTGCCATGGTGGACTTATAGGCCAAGGCCAAAACAACTAGCCTAGAGGTGATACTGGCTGGAATAGAATTCCTCTCACCTATGGCACCTGGCTTTCTCTGGAGCCATTGGATTAGATATGCCCAATTTTATATTTCACCAGCCTGACCGAGTTCTAAAATAAAGGTGTATATTCCCTTTACTGTCTTACCCCAGGAACATGAGCCTTGCTACGTGTTGTGCTACCCAAGGCTACATAGAGGTAATGGAGATATCCATTAGGTGCTCAGGCTGATACTAAGCTGGGTCACAAACTGAGTCTTACAGCTTCAGGGAGTGAACAGTCTCAAGGTTGTGTACCAGACCCATGTGTCACTTGGCAGTTTAGTGAGCTGAATCATGAATCGGTACCTATAGGTCTTAGCTCTTCATTTGACACCTGCAGGACTAGAGGCTCCATATAGAAGCTCTGGTCTGGGGACAGGAGCTTTGGGCCCCACTGTGTCAGTCCTATGCTCATTCCAACCCTACTCCCTAGTGATTAGAATCTTGCTTCTCATTCTGCTGTTCAAAGTTGGCAGAAGAGTAGTAGAGTTACTTACTTCCTGGCTGAGGAGCATCTGGAGCTACAGTCTAACTCAAAGAGAAGTACTGTGAGCTATGCCTGCCCCTAGGTCTCACTGTAGCAGGCTCAGTGCTAGGTTTCAAGTCTATGGTTTGGACTTAATTATTTTCCCTCCCAAGTGGAAGGTGCCTTTTTCAGTACCAAACTGGTTGGATTTGGAGGACTGATGTTATGGGAAGTTCTTCTCTTTCTGGCCTCTTCAGTGTATCTTTTATCATTATTTTATTAAACTAGACATTATAATCTCACACCTGACTTCTGTAGCTCTTATGAAGGCATGAGAATAGCTATTCACATCATTGTCTCTTTTGGGAGACAATCATCAAAGCATCTTACTTAATTACTATCTTGCTCCTTATGACTGTCACATTTAATCTTTACAACCCCTCCAAGGTAGCCAAATACAGTCCCATTTTACAGATAAGTAAATGGAGACTCTTAAAGAGCTTTTTTAAAGTCTCCTAGGTGTTTTAGTATAGAAGCTACGGTACTTATTTTTCCCCACATTCTCTATTACTTCTTTCATTTAAAATTAAGATATTTGGCCATGGAAAGAGCTTTACATATGTAATAACAAAGTGCGTTTTTTTACTCTTAGCTCATGCTTTAGGCTGAGAACTGTCTGAAGTACTGCTTGTGTAGCATGTCTTTAGAAATTCATAATTCTCTACAGGTTTTACCCCCCAACTAGTAAATGTTGACTAAGTAAATATGAGAGCTTCTGGGAAGGTGTATAAGCATGACATCATAAATGTTAGACGTGTGTGTGTGTGTGTGTGTGTGTGTGTGTGTTCATTTTTAAAGCAAAAAATAATCATAATGTTTACCTCTAAGTCTTATTTCTGCATAATTATGATGAATTGATTTTTCTGAAATGTATTTACTGAAAAGTAGAAATTTAACAATTCCATTGCCTTCCTTTGAAACTTTTTAATCCTTTATATTTAGGTGTTCTTCATTGTAATGAATATGACAGTCTGAGATTGAGATGGCTGAGGCAGACATTAGAATCCTTCATCCCACAGCCTTTGAGAAATGTAATTAAAGTGTCTGAATTGGATGGCAGGGAACTAGGAGATGCTCAGCCTGAAACATTTGACAAGGTACTTTTATTACATTTTGACAAACTGATAGACTCCCAAGGATACCACTATTATGTTGCTTTGTTGTTGTTTTGCAGACATAGCCTGACAGAGTTTGTCATTACTCTGGGAAATTTTGATAAAGTGAACATGGAAGTAGTTTTCATTTAATGGTTAACATGGTTCAGAGGAAGCAGTAACATTGGGTTTGGGGATTATAGAATATTATGTTTCTGTGTACCTTAAAGATACTTGGGAAAAGGTCAGATATTATTTGGGTCAGTAAACAAACATGCACTATTTTTCTTCAGTTCAGTAATAGTTCATATTAAAGAATGACAATTATAAGAAAAGATATAATTTCTGTAAATGGAAATTGAAATATTCTTAAAAATACTGACAATTCAGAAATAGGCTAATGTCTGTTTAAAATAACTTTTTAGTTCTTAAAAATGCTGAGAATTCAGAAATACGTATGAGACTCTTTAAAGTGAGTTACTTTCATAAGTTTTTGGTGTGGTTGTCAAAATATCAGATGTTATTTACAGACATTATTAGCCAGGCTTGGTGGCATATGCCTGTAAGGTCAGCTCTTTGGGAGGCTGAGGCAAGAGAATCACAAATTTGGGGCAACTTGATGAGGCCATGTCTCAAAATTAAGTAAAAATGGCCTCAAGATATGGCTCAGGGTAGACTGTTTGCCTAGCATTCTTGAGCTTTGAGTTCAATGGCCAGTACCATTGAAATACATATAGATAGCAATAGATCTCTAGTCCTCCCTTCTTTCTTCTCTGTAATCAGAACAAACAAAAAACCAACACTAGCTGGGCATGGTGGCTCATGCTTGTAATCCCAACACTGGGAAGCTGAGGCAGGTGGATTGTAAGTTTGAGCTCATCCTGAGCAATTTAGAGAAATAGCAAGACTCTGTCTCAAAATAAAAAATAAAAGAAGGGCTGGTAATGTAGTTCAGTGTGAAGCCCTAGGTTCAATCTCCAATATCATAAAAAGCCAACAATAATAACAAAAACACTGAAAATTATATACAAAAATTTTCTGGTATTAATGAGTAAATATTTTAAAATAACTTAATGTGTTGTACTTTTAGTGTCAAAAGAAGTGTTTCTATTCATATGCATTTGTCATGTAGCTTTTCTATATATGTTGTCCCTAAGAATATATTTGCATCATTTTTCCTTCTTGCTCTAGGTGTTAGTTGATGCTCCATGTTCAAATGATCGGAGTTGGTTGTTCTCTTCTGATTCGCAGAAGGCAGCCTGTAGGATACATCAAAGAAGGAACTTACCTGTTCTACAGTTAGAACTCTTAAGGTGAGGACTCTTTAATATAAAAGCCTCCTTTTGTTTCTAATGTAATTTATTTTTACTTATTTATATTTTTGGTACTGGGCATTGAACTAAGGACCTTGCATTTGTAAGGCAGGTGCAGTCATTGAGCTAAATCCCCAGACCTCTAATGTAATTTAAATAGGTGTGATAGAGGATGTCAAGCCCTAAATGAAGGCTTCCTCTGTTAAGTGTCAGGGATTAATTCCTCTGAAGACTGCATTCAGAAAATTATCAGCTTGTTTGAAAGTTTTCTGCTTTCATGCTGTAATGCCTTCTAATCCCTAACAATATTCAGTGTCACTGTGCATTATCTTTAAAAGGCCAACATGAAGTTGTTTGCTTATGAGGACCAACTCAAGTATCAGGTTAGCATCAGGGTTTTTATCAGAATCTGAGCAGTCCTCTATAGGAGTATCTTTGGACCAGGATGTATTTTTTGGTAATTTTGGTAATTTTCTGGGTAAGTCAGCTCCATAGGAATACACAGCTATTTGTTTGCACTTATCTTTCCTCTAAGAATCTTGTAGAAGTGATTGACTACCAAGTGGTTTCCTTCAGATCAAAGGGATTTAGCTACATCTTTGCTCTGGTTCCAAAAGAAATTTTGACTTGTACCCTCCTCCCAAGTAATTCTTTTTATCTAATGCTTGCATTAGTTCATTTTTTTGCCATAACAAAATACCTGAGGTTGGAGACTATAAAGAAGGAAAGGCTTGTTTCTCACTCTTTCTCAAGAGCCCTTCATTAGACATTTGCCTATACTTGTCTTCCTTTTTGTTAAGATTTTAAATCCTGTGGGGTCTAGGATTGCTGTATTGCTTTTATTCCCAGTATAAAATTTGGTATCTGGCATATAGAATGAACACAGCAAATAACTGTTTAAAAGCAGTAAATTACAAGGACTGAGTATTTAGAATTTACAGCTGTAATTAAATTTATAGCAAAGTTAATCTAACAAAAAATAATGGTATCATTATTGTGCTGGAAAGTAATTAGGCATACATGTAAAGCAATTCACATAATTTATTTTGATTGCTTTACATGGTTTTGGCCAAAGCCTGATTTGGGTTTTAATTATTTTTTTTTCTCTTCATTTAATAAATTTCCCTTAACATCCCACATTCCCTTAACATCAGTTGTCATCACAGAGATCACAGAGATCATACAGATATGTAAATCTCTTATGCTATTAACAACTACAGCTCTTCCTTAGTAGTTATTCCACTCTCCCATTTTCTTACTCCTCCGAAGGAATGCCTTTAGCATCACAGCACTTACAAAACTGACTTCTCAGTCATAATGGGTATAGGTTTTCACATAATCATTCACTATTGGGAAACACCATCACATCAGCCATCATCCCATTTTTTTTTTTTTTTTTTTTTTTTTTTTTTTTTTTTTT